GGGAGCGCTGCCGCGCTTCCCAAGCGGTGCACTTATCCAGTGCGCCACCGGGCCGGCCCCAAGATCTTTTGAACTCTACTTTTCTTACCATGTAGAAACATGATCAAATGAAAAAGATGATAAAAAGGCACAAAGAAAAGGGTGGTATTGTCACTGTATTGTGCTACAGGGGAAGAGACACACAAGTTGGAGATAGAAGACCAGTGTTTAAGACTCTGCTATTTACAATAGCTCTATATTTTGGAGCAAATTAGCTACTTAGAGTCTAGGGTTGGGATGAGCTGATAACAATATTTTTCTCCTGAAGTTGTAAGAATTATGCAGATGGATGTGTGAGATTATTGATGTGACAATTGTTAGAAGTTTTTCATATTATTGGTGGTTAATACCTTCTCTGTTGAATCGACTAGTTAAATTCAAATGCTAAAATGTGTCTATTTTGGAAGTAATAACATTTTGCCCTTATCAGTTATTGGTACATTATTATGAATGCAGGTAGAGGGAATAATTTTAACAGAGCTCTGTGGGAGAAAATAATGGGGAACTTCTTCATCTGAAAGAGATGGAAATTTGACAGGAATGGCTGAAAGAGAATTTCACCTACCTCATAATTTTGCCTCTGACTAGATCTGTGTTCTGTACATTCACTCACAAGTGTGAGCAGCACATAAATATTCAATACTCCACAACAGAAAGAGGGACATTTATGTGGAAGAAAGTGACTTAGGGCCACAAGCCTTTGGAAAAATCAGCCAGGCAAGAGATAGCTCAGTTCACTCGTTTCCATTAGCCATTTATACGAAATATAGCAATTGCTTTGCTAGAGGCAAAGTGACTTAGGGCCACAAGCCTTTGGAAAAATCAGCCAGGCAAGAGATAGCTCAGTTCACTTGTTTCCATTAGCCATTTATACAAAATATAGCAATTGCTTTGCTAGAGGCAGGTAAAGGCTATTTCCTTGCTCTTGAGTTTCAGCTTTTAATGGAAAAAGTGGAAAGTAGTGCAGAAACAGCGAGAGGCCTTTGGGTTCTAGAGGTTAAAGCATCTTCAGGGAAGGAATGCTGAAGAGGTGTTGAGTTGAAGATTTTAGAAGGGTCTGTGTTGGGCTAGGGCTCGCAGACCCTTTAAAACCACTGTACAGACTGGGTCGCAGACTCCTCATATGCCTGCTGGGTCCTAGACCCCTCACATGCTGACTGGGTCACCAGTCCCCTCACATATAGGCTGCGAGCTAGGTAATTGGGACCTGGGAGCTATTGACAGAGTTGACATGATTCATTCCAACACAAGCTCAGTCCTCAGCTTCCTCAGCAGCAGCAGCAGCGGCAGCTTACGGCAGCCTCTGGCAGTAGTGGCATTGGCTTCGTGGAGGCTCCTGGGGGCCCTGGCAGCAGCAGCTTGTAGCAACAGCCTCCAGCAGCAGTAGTGGCCTTGCTGTGCCCTCCACTCCCACCAGGGCCTCCCGGAGGCAGGGGGGCCCTGTGAATCAAAGCCGTTCATCCTTTATACTTAAGTCTGATAACCCAGGAACGCCTGGTTATGAGTCAGACAATCCCATGTGCATCCACATCAGACAATAGCCAAGGAACACCTGCGTGCACGTGCACAAGTTATCACATTTACATCAAATGCTTGGCAAGATTCTGAACAGCTGAGGGATCCTGACTATTTACCTTCACTTTCTCTATAGTCTGCTTCAGAGAAGAACAGAAGGGTGGAAGATGGCCACCAAGCCAAAACAAATATGGTTTATCTTTGTTGTTACAAAGAATCTAAGCAAGCGAGTAATATGGAGGTTCATAAAGTGAGGCAAAGTGATATGAAGCCAGTCCAGAGAGGTTAATGTACTACCAGAATGATTAAACTGAATTAAACTGGATTAATTTTACATTCTTGTCTTTCCTTTTCTGAGCTCTGAAATGTATTTGTCTATAAGGGGAGACCCTCCTGGGAAATATTTTGAATTCACATAAAAAGCTAATGTATTGAATATGAGATTGTGGAAGAAAATTCTGAGTAATTTTAACAGTTCATTAAAAGTTAAACTCATTTTTCCCCCTGAATTGAGTTCCCTGAGACTTTGGTAGAAGCTAAAGAATCAAAGGAAAAAATGTGGCCAAGAGCCCTTTTTGAAGTGGAATTATTCCCCACACTTGGTATTCAGATGTAGTTTCCCGTATTTTGTAGACAGAGCTTCTCCATCCTGGTTGTGTAATAGAGACACCTGGGGAACTTTGGAAAACTGCTCCTGCCTGGACCCCTCCTGCAGAGATTCAACTTTAATTGGTCTGAATTGGGCCTGACCTTCAGTTGATTGATTGCTTAATGCTCACGGATGATTGTAATGCTTGGTCTCTGCTGTAAGTCACAGAACCAGAGGCTGAGAAAGGAAAATGTTGGCAGAGACCAATGAGGCCACCTATGGTCAGAGACAGAGGGAGCAGGCTTCAGATGCTGGGCCAGTCTTAGATGGAAAAGAGATGTTCAAAAGACAGTGGGGGTCTACAGTGAAGGATGGAGGCTTTTTACGTTCCTAATGTTTTAGTAAAGTTAGTGAGCAAAAGATAAGGCCCCCAAACTCTGCCATTGCTATGGCAATTAAACCTCCCCTGACCACCTTAGTTTGCAATGCTGTCTTTCTAAAGAATGATTTTAGGTTTTAGTAGGTGAGTCACTGGACCCAGTTGAGGTAGGTAATTGTGCTGTGAATTTTGTCCTAGAGAACAGGAAACTCATTATGGCACAGGAAATGTTTCTGGAAAACTCTGCCCTAGGGATTCCTTGTCTTTGGATATTCTAAATTGAATTATTATTTTCCATCTCTTTCTTTTTTAAAAAACTAATTCATTTTTTAGTTGACTCATATTGATTGTACATATTTGTGCACATAATCTTCATGGTAGTCAAGTTCGACATAATATACATCTATATGTTTATGTGTATGTATGTATATACCTGTGTGTGAATATATATTAAATTGCATTTTTCTTCTCCTGTGTTAGGCTGCACACTGTAACCACAGTCAGGAAGTCTTCTGCTGTGCTGGAAATCCATCAAGAGGTATGAAGATGGACACAACATCATTCACGGACACATTTATTCACTTATTTGCCTCTTCACTGTTGTTAATGTTTGATTGTGATCACACTTTTCTCTTAATATTATATTTTTATATTTTGTACACTATTCCTCAAGCCAGGGTTTGCTGGGAAATTCTAACGACCAAATAGAAACTAGATTATATGATACTACTGTAAGGAATATTATTAGGATGAGCAACCCTGGAACTTTCTTTTTCTTGTGTGTTAAATATTATTGTCATGCCAAGCAGTATTAAGTCTGAGATATGAAGAAAAATGTTTGAGTTTCATTTATTAGGGTGTTACTTAATTTTATTACATCATCATTATCATTACTATTTATTTACGTAGGATCAGGGGAGCAGTTTCTGGAGCTCACTTAGGTGGGCATTTACCAGAACAGTGTTGGGCCATGACTCTGACTGACAGATTCTGCCTTCTCATGGCCACTCTCTTTTGATGCTGTTGGAGGGTCACACCACATTCTAATAGCTGTGATTCCACAAAATAGTTCTCTAGGGAAATCAGTTTTGAATACATCACTAAATAGAAAACTCTCCATGTCTACAAATTAGAGGACAAAAATAATTCACACTGATGATAATTTTACCTACATGGGTCTTTCTCATTGAGTTTTACTTACTAATAGAGAGGATTTAACAGGGCATTAGTGGTTCTAATTGCTTAAGAAATGAATTTGGTGAAAATGCGTAGCTATTTTTGTGTTGCTTCTATTTTTTGTTCTTTGTTACCTGTTCTTTCTTGTGTTTGTTCTTTTTTCAACAAATACCTTTTGAGTTCTTTCTTTTATTTTAACTTCTCAACATACATTGTAGTAGATTTTTGTGTCCCTTTACCTGTTCTTCTTTCCCCCCCTCCCTCTCTCCCTTCCCCACCACTATATCATATCTGTTCACTTGTCTTAACAAGCTCAAGGAATTGTTGTGATTGTTGTGTCTTCTTACCCCACTACCCTTTATTTGTTTGTATATTTATTATTTATTTATTTATTTTTAGCTCCCACAAATAAGTGACAACGTGGTATTTCTCTTTCTGTGCCTGGCTTGTTTCACTTAATACAATTTTCTCTAAGTCCATCTATGTTGTTGTGAATGGTAGTATTTTATTCTTTTTTATAGCAGAGTAGTATTTCATTGTGTGGATATAGCACAGTTTCCTTATCTATTCATCCGATGATGGACATTTGGGCTGGTTCCAACTCTTGGCTATTGTAAACAGTGCTACAATAAACATGGGAGTGCAGGTATCCCTTTGGCATGATGATTTCCCTTCCGCTGGGTATATTCTCAACAGTGGAATAGCTGGGTCATATGATAGGTCTATCTGTAATTGTTTGAGGAACATCCATACCATTTTCAATAAAGGCTGCACCATTTTGCAATCACACTAAAGGTGTATGAGAGTTCCTTTTTCTCCACAATCTTGCAAGCATTTATCATTCTCAGTCTTCTGGATATTAGCCATCCTAAGTGGAGTGAGATGGTATCTCAAAGTGGTTTTGATTTGCATTTCCCAAATGCTGAGTGATATTGAGAATTTTTTCATGCGTCTGTTGGCCATTCGTATATCTTCCTTTGAGAAATGCCTATTTAGCTCTTTTGCCCATTTTTTAATTGGGTTATTTGTTTTTTTGCTGTAAAGTTGTTTGAGTTCCTTATATATTCTGGATGTTAATCCTTTGTCAGATGTATATTTTGCAAATATTTGCTCCCACTATGTTGGTTGTCTTTTCACTCTGTTGATTGTTTCTTTTGCTGTGCAGAAGCTTTTTAGTTTGATATAATCCCATTTGTTTATTTTACCTTTAGTTGCCTGTGCTTTGGGGATAATATTCATGAAGTCTGTACCCACTCCTACTTCCTGGAGTGTTTCCCCTATGTTTTCTTTAAGGAGTTTTATTGTTTCAGAATGTATATTTAATTATTTAATCCATTTTGAGTTGATTTTGGTATATGGTGAGAGGTACAGGTCTAATTTCTTTCTCCTGCATATGAATATCCAGGTTTCCCAGCACCATTTGCTGAAGAGACAGTCTCTCCTCCAGTGTGTAGACTTGGTGCCTTTGTCAAAGATCAGATGGCTGTAGGTGTATGGGTTGATTTCTGGGTTCTCTATTCCTTTCCATTGATCCATGTGTCTGTCTTTTTGCCAGTATCATGCTGTTTTGGTTATTATAGCTTTATAGTATAGTTTAAAGTCAGGTAGTGCTATGCCTCCAGCTTTATTTCTTTTTGCTCGGGATTGCTTTGGCTATGCGTGG